GATCTAACCCCTGCAGAGGCTGGTAGTCAAAGACGGGTAAGAGAAGTGTAGAGAAATATCCAACCTAAGACAGAGCATGAGTATCAGAATTCTCATGGCTTGATGACGGGTAAGGGATTTCTCTGGACATTTCTCACCTAAGACAGGCACAGTCTTTCTGCTGAGCTGGGAAAGTCCTTGCTCTAAATATAATAAAAAGGGGGATATGTGGGAGCCCGGCCGTGGCCCTCTAGGAGTTTGACATTTAAAAGGAAACTTCTTCACCTCTACACTCAAGGCATTGATACAATCTGTAACATTCTAGGACTCTGCTTGTTAAACTTGTTGCTGCAACGGAAGAAACTCAAGGAGACAGCCAAAGATCTGATGTTCTTTGCAAAGAGTCAGACAATCCGGTCTTTGCATAAAAGATACAAATAGTTGCTTGGTGCTTCCTGTTGATGTGAACCTATAAAAGGAGCTCTTTCTGTGAAATAAATCAGACTTCTCTTCGTCTCCACTCAGGCTTGAGTGTTCTTTCCTTTCTCAATCCTCACTCCCCGACTCAGGCATGTTCGTGTTGTGACGGCTGGACCGCCACAAGGGACTCGCCTAAGGTCACTCATTATGGTGATTTTAAAGTATGTGCATGGGCTGGGGTGTAGTCCAATGTAGAGCACTGCCTAGCATCCACGGGGCCCTAGGTTTGACCTCCTGAACTGCAAACAATAGGTCAAACATTGCGTATCCACAAATTCTTTTATAACCCTTCCTTCAAAAAGTGGAACTTCATTCGATCCCCGGGACTGAAAAAAAAACAACAAAAAAAGTGGAACTTCAACTGGGGGTGGTGTGGTCACGTGCCTGTGACCTGGGACAGGGTGCTCCAGCACTGCTTTCTTGACTAGAGTTGAAACCCCAAGACAGGTGGGCCCTAGTTACCGAGGGAGTCAGAGGACTGCTATCTCCCCTGCATGCAGGGAGGACACACACGTAGGCACTGAGGCCAGTGATCACGGCCTGCAAAGCACAACTCTGTTTCAAGATAGTAGCAATGTCCTCTTGCAGACCCCATAGAAGCCCTTCAGCCTGCAAGAGGGGTGCTGCTCTGGGCCTCACACCAGTGGTCCCTCAAAGGTTTTACTCCAAAAAGCCTGTCCTCTTCTGTGAAGCTCAGTTTTCTTTTCTTTTTTCCTATCATCCAGCACTCAGGAGGCTGAGGCAGGAGGCTTCCAAGTTTGAGACCAGCCTGGGCAATTTAGCAACTTAGTGAGCCCCTGTCACCAAAAAAAAAAAAAAAAAAAAAAAAAAAAAAAAAAAAATTCCCCGGCAAAGGCCTTGGTTCAATATCCAGCTATCCAGCATCACAAAAAAAGAAAGAAAAAAAATGTGGAGCTTGTTCTCTAGTGTGGGCTGGGCTTAGTGACTCACTTCTGAGGAACAGAATATGAGGGAACGGAGCGTGACTTTGCGGCCAGCTCATAAAAGGCTGTCTTGCGCCCTGACATGTTGTGACACTCCCTCGGCCCAACGGAGAGGCCTTCAGGGTGGAAGGCGAGGCCTTCTGCCCACAGCTGTAGGGTGAGCCGTCTCAGAAGTGGGTCCCCGGCCGACCTGTGACACAGCCTCCCAAGACCTGAGCAAGACCTCCCAAGACCCAGCCACGCTGCCTCCGGATTCCTGCCCACTGAATCCACGAGGAATCCACGTTTGCTGAGAGTCGGGGTCATCTGTGATGCAGCAAAAAGAGGCTTCGGTCTGACTTGGGTCTGAACAGTCCGAGGGATTCCACTCTAACCTCTGTCCCTCCTCCAGGGCCTCCCACAGAAAGGAAAGGGCAGGGATGGATCTTGTCAGTGCCATGTGTGTGAGTCCCCCCAGGCCAGAGGCAGAGCTGGGCAGACCTGTAACTGCCACAGACGTGGGGACACAGCTTCCTAATCATGCTACACTCGCTGGGCAGAGCAGGTGCTCTGTGAGCAGCTGGAACACATTGGGGCTCGGCTCTTTGTGCTCAGGCTCAGCAGGGGACAAGAGAGAGGCTCTGAGGGATGGGCCTAGGGAACCATTCCTGCCCTGCAGAGCACCCCAGGCAGGGATGGCGGCTGTGACTGCCCAGTCACTTGGGATTCGGCTCCACTGGTGGCTTCCTAGAGAGGGGCGGGGCGCTGATGGACCCTCTCCTGGAGGCCCCGCCTCCTCCCTTGGCCTCAGGGAGCCAGAGGACCAGTGCTGCCGGCTCCCCATCTTCACTTCTAGACCCTCCGCCCTGGAGAGGCCGCCATTGCTCCTGCTTTCCCTGGGCCAGGGGTTCTGGGTCCAGGTGGAAAGAGAAGGGGAGGGGTACGGCTTTGAGGTGCTGAGCTCAGGATAGGACTCTGCAGGCAGACTGCCAAGGCTGACACATCCTAGCTGTGTGTCCTCAAGGGAAGTATGCATCCTCTCTGGGACACACTTTCCTTATCTGTAAAAGTAAGAAATACCATCTATTTCATGGCACTGCCGGGGGTCAAATGAGCTGACAAATCATGGGAAGTGTGTGCACAGACCTGGACACACTAAGTGCTCAATAAATGCTAGTGTTCTTCTGCTGGGTGCCAATCAGTATGGTCAGCATTCTGTATACTTCGCCTCAAGAAATCCTCATGGCAATCAGGGGGTCAATCTACCACAACGAGTCTCACAGAGAGGAAGGGTTGGAGGTACAAGCAGTCCACAGAGGTGCAGAATTAGAACTCAACACCTAGTAAGTAATTTCCACTACATTCAAAAGTCTCAGCTAAAAATCCTATCCTATATACATTTGTCCAGAATACATTTGTCTCCCTATAGAAGCTCCCAAGATTATATGACCAATCCCTACTTCACACCCTATTAAGAAAAAAAAAATCAACTACAGATTAAGGATTTAAGTGTCAAAACGAACCATTAAAAAGTCTTCAGTAGAAAGCAGAGGTAAATAGTCTTTTGAACTAAATGTTGGGGATGATGGCTGCAGATTTCTTCACAGGAAATACGGGGGGACAGACTGTAGATGTTAAGGAAAATTCAGCATCCGTAGTGATTAAGGAAATGCAAATTTAGAGCTCAGTTTTATAGTTCATTGACAAAAATGAAAACTCCAACAATACCAAGTTTCAGAAACCAGATGGGTTATGGGCACTGCTGGGGGAATGGTAATCAGGGCCACTTTGGAAAGCCATGTGCAGTGACCTCCAGAAGATGGACACCCCAGGTCCCAGCACTCCTGGGTAAACTCCCAGAGGAACCTGCACTAAGAGCTACTTGTAGCGAGTCCAGTGAGCAGAGCCCCAGACACCTCCCAGGAGGGCGCACACAGGGCAAGGGATGGGTCAGTGGGGCGCTGATCTGGGGGAAGACGGCAAGCGGTGAAAACAGGTGAAGTGCACTCTGGATCAGTCCGAACCCAAGGCATTCACTAAGCTGCATCCCCAGACCTTTTTTAATTTTTAAATTTTGACACAGGGCCTTGTTAAGTTGTTAAGCTGCCCAGGCTAGGCTCAAACTTGTCACCCTCCTGCCTCAGCCTCCCAGGGTACTGGGATTACAGGTGTGCACTGCCACGCCCCACTCCCTGCTCTCCTAAGAACAGGGGAGGGGACGTAGCCACCAAGGAGCGTGTGCATGAAGATGGCAGCAGAGGCTGCAGTGACGCAGCTACAGGCCAAGGAAAGCCAAGGCCAAGGATTGCTGCAGTCCCCAGAAGATGGGAGAGGGACATGGGCTGGACCCTCCCTACGGCCTTCAGAGGAAATATGGCCTTGCTGCCACCTTGACTTCAGACTTCCGGCCGGCAGAGCTGAGAGAGAATAAATTTCTGCTGTTTTAGAACGTGGAGTTTGTGGTAATTTGTTACATCAGTCCTGGAAAACTAATACAGTCTTTTATTTGGACACAGGGTTTTGTTATGGAGCTCAGGCTGGTCTTGAACTCTACACCTTCTGCCTCAGGCTCCTGAGCGCTGGGAGTGCAGGCTGTGCCACTACACCTGCCTCACATACGTCCTTTCAATAAGCTTGCTAGGAACAAACTAAAACTTAAAATGTCCTTTTTTAAGGAAATGGGTATAATAAAACCGCAAAAAAAGCAAAGCAGAGAGGGACAAAGATGGCATTTAAGGTGACAGGGACCCTCCGGTTTGGGTGTTAGCGCTGTCGGGGTCCTAGCTTTTGCCTTGACACCTCAAAAATGAAGCAACAAAGAAAGAAATGTTAATAAGGAACATCGGGCAAAGGCCAGAGGAGAGAATACACCGTGGTGAGACACTGTCCCCACATTCAAAAGCGAAGTAGTTCAGTGGTAGAGTGCTTGCCCAGCATGGCCCAGGCTCTGGGTCTTTCCCCAGCATCCTGCCCCCAGGAATTCAAACATAAAAGCAGAAAAGCAGAAAGCAGCTCCTCCGAGCTTCTAAGTGTTGACTGTCCAATCTTCTGGCCTGAGTTTTGTCTCCTTTCCTAGTTAGGTGGGTGCTGAGCCAGCCCTGGTGAGCTGTTAAAATCAGATCAGCAGTAAGCAAGACTTTTTCTCTGTGAAAGAAAATTGCTGTGCATCCCAGAGCTAGGAGACACCCTCTCTGTGTCCCCCTAGCCTTCCCCTGCAGAATTAACCAGGAGGTCTCCTCCATCTTTCAGGAGATTTCCCTGTGGACAAGCAGTTTTCATTTTGTTTGCAGGCCTGAGACTCCACGGGGGTGCCCTGGGCAAAGACACCTGCCCAACCTGGTGGCCTTGGGCTAGGCAAGGAGGCCCAGCTGCAGGCCATTTCCCCTGAGCTGGGCAGAAGCCTGTCCATCCCCAGCCCCAGCAAGGCCCTGTCTTGTCCCAGCACCTCCAGCACCCGAGGAAAGTGGACATGGGCCAGGCTGGCACACGGCAGGCTCCCAGGGAGCCAGGTAAGCTCACCCTTGCCCTCAATTATCTTGCAGGCTAACCAACACCCAAGACCCTCCGGCCCATCTACTGGGAGGACCCCAGGGACATGGGGCCGCATGTCACTGTGGAGAGAGGTGGCAGGGGCCCAGAGAGAGGAAACGGGGTTGGGGGAGGGGAATCGTACTTCCTGCCTCTTTGTCGGGGAGACTAAGCTGGGGCTGGGGCTGGGGCAGGTCTCGGTCATGGTTAAGCCCACGATCCTGCAGCTGATCTAGATGGCTTAGGTGCAGGTGCGATGCCCGCTGCTTTTGTGGCCTTCAGCAGGTGACAGCCCCTCACTGTTCATTGTGGTCCCCGAACCACCAGCACCCGCAGGGAGGTGTGAGAAATGTGGAGCTGCAGGCCCAGACCTAGGAGTCACTCTTTCGACACACTCCCAAAGGGCCACCTCGAGGGCACACCCACCTCTGGGTGCCTTGGCTGCCTCTTCTGCAGAGCTGGGGTTAAATGAGCTCACACATCTGCAGCGATCCCAACAGCCGCCAGTACGCGGTAAGTGCCGGAGAGGTGCGCGCTGCTATTTTTACTGTCGCTTACTATTATTGAAGCGCTCAGGGCAAGATGACGCTGTACTGCTGCCCCCGCCTCGGCATCCTCAGAGGTGGGTTTCATGAAACCCAAGATGAAGACGAGGAGGCAGCGGCTCAGAGAGGTGCAGCAATGTGTCCCAGATCTAAATGGGCAAGTCCGGTCACCCCAACCTTATTCTTGAGGTGGGCACTGCTTCTTCCGTGCCCAGCACTTCAAGTACTTAACCCCTGTGAGGCTGCCTTTGCCGGCAACTCCATTCTCAGAGGGCTGAAGTGAAGACACAGAGGGACCAGGCTGCATTTCCAAATCCAGTCAGCAGGAAAGGCTGGATGTGAACCGGGATGAGTGTGACTCTCACGTCTAGGCCGTGCTGTGTGTCCTTCACCATTTCCCCCCCAGAATCTGTTCCTCTCATGCCTCCCTGCCTCGCTGCCATCCTGCTGCCAGCCCAAAGCTCTGGCCAGGGTAGATTCTGCCTCTCCCAGGTTCTTACCACTAATGAGGTCTTGGCCAACCTGAGGCTGGGACCGCAGAGGCTGCTGGAAGTGGCTCTGTGGGAAGAACGTGTTTCCTTCCGCTCTACTCTCCAGTGTGGCCCAGGCAGCAGGAGCTCTGAGGGCAGTGACGGGCGGATCACTCACTCCACATGCATTTATCCGGCACCTGCTGGGCGCCAGGCCCTGTTCTGCAGCATTCATTCCGTAGCAGCTGAGTGCCACACACTGTTCTGTAGATCCAGCAGCGGACAGGAAGACCCAGTCCTGGGGAGACACACAGCACTAAAATTTAACACACACGATTTCCCAAAGGCCAGGAGAGACTAGCAAAGATGACTTCCGGGCGGGGGATCAGGGACAGCCCTCCTGAGCAAGTCTCGTTAAAGCTGAGGGCGAAAGATGAAGGGAAGGGAGCTCCAGCTGCAACGTGGGGAGGCGGGAGGCGAGCAGGGAGAGAGCTGGGCCTGCCAGAGGCTTCTGCCCCGGGCTGGGAAAGAGGATTCCCAGCAACATCCCAGATGGACTTGCCTCTCCAGTCTCCCCAGGTACCCCGGGCCACAGAGGCCTTGAGAAAACTGTCCTCACCCCTTTCCAGGCCAGCTGGCCCCAGGGGAGTGTCCGCTGGATGTCAGTCTTCTGGGGCAGAGGAGCGGCACACTGACAGGACTCTGCTCCCGGGCAGACCGGCCTGGCCTCCACTCCTGCCTCGTCCAACGCAGGCAGGTGGTGGTACTTCAGCTGTTCGGAGTCTCGGGTTCCTCATCTATAAAAGAGCACCGATCTTTTGGAGTCGTTCTGATAAATTGTGTCGAGTGGCGGGCAAGTGCAGGGGACGGCACTTGGTGGGGCTTAACCCGGGGATTAATATGTTGAAAATGGCCGTGATCGTGAGCCGTCCAGAGACCGCAAATTCCCCGCGGCCCCAGCCCCCAGCGCAGCGAGAGGTCTGAGGGAGGGACCGTGCGGTCCGGTTCGGGGCTGTTTGGGAAGCGATTGGCACTGCAGGCACAAGGTCGGTGTTCCCAGGTAAGGAAGGGACGGATGGACACGGGTGAATGACTGCGAACCTATGAATAAAGCTCCTTTCCCAAGCGAGGTCATTTCACTCAGTGGTCCTGCCTCTCGCCAGCCGTGGCCTGCAACACGCTTACCTGCCGTGAGC